ACTTCTTTCTCATAATGACATGGAAGAAGTCGTGAGATTTAATTTCCATGCTATCATTGCATTTTCTAACAAGTTCTGTGCATTCTTCTAGGGTATGAATGATCAAACTACACGTGCTTTAAGGATGAAGGCTTGAAAGCTAATTTTACAATAATAAAGAAAAATTTAAAACTACACCAAATGTTTTAGATTTTATTGGGTTCTTTTTTTTATTTTATTATTTAGCTATAGATTATAAGGTCGTTGATTAGATCGCGACTTGCAGCTGAAAAATATGAGTATGAATTTGACTTGCTTTAGAAACTAGGATAATGTCTCTCTAAACGTTTTTGACTCTTCATTTTATGTAGTTTGAGGTGATTAGAAGATACGATAGTATAATTTTGAATCATTGGAAAGGTTGCTTGAGTGGTGAATTCGATATAAGCGAGATTTTAAGTTTTGTTACGATTAGTACAAATGGTGTTACATAACACCTTTGGTTAGTAATAGTATTAGTAGCAGTATTAATTCATTCTTTGTTCATTTTTTGTATTGGGCCTCGAGGCCCACTTTGTATTTATTCAGTAGAATAGTAGTTTAGAGTGTGGGCCACATGGGTCGTATATATAGAGAAGCCCACATGTGTTGTAGACGAAATTTTCATTTTCATTTTCATTCTTGCCAGTAATGAGAAAAGCCTTAATATCCCTCTCTAAACCCTTCTAGCCCTAACCGTGGAATTTTCAATTTCTATTTCGAATCTTAATTTTAACATGGTATTAGAGCTAAGATCCAGTTAGAGCTCGTGATTTCCACTTGTCCGATCTTACCATCGAGGTTTTTCGTTGGAGTTTTCGTTCTCGATTCTCTTCGCTGTGGTTGACTAATTTTGACGGAATTTTCCAGATTTTTCGTCAAATTTTGCATTTTGCTGCTGATTCTTCTCACATTTTACTTTATCTTATCGAAAGCACTGGGTTTCTTCACCTAATTTTGGTTCTCATCAAATTCAAGCCAAAGCTAGGATTTGTTGGTCGTGATTTCATCAACGGCTTATCATGTTTTATTTAATAAACAAGGCTGTTGTTCCTTTCATTTCGCGAGGAAAATTGGTAACTTTCCTTACCTGTAGATTGCATGAATAGTATCTATTGATATTCCTTTCCTCATATTTTGAGAAAATGCCAGACGAAAATTCACCTACCCATATCCTGTCTACTTCTAAACCTGCATCTTCTCGTTCTGCTTTCCATGAGGATGACTATACACATCCTTGTCATCCTCTGTATGTCCATCCTTCTGATGTACTAGGAACTTCTTTAGTTTCGGTGCCATTTGATTGCACTGGTTATGGGAGTTGGAGACGCACTATTTTCATGGCCCTCTCTGTCAGAAACAAACTTGACTTTGTCAATAGAGTCTCTGTTAAACCCTCTGATACTTCTCCCCTAGCGATATAGTGGCAGAGATGCAATGATCTAGTGGTTTCGTGGTTAATCAACTCCTTGTCTAAGGACATAGCTCGTAGTGTTGAGTATTCTGAGCTTGCCAAGGACATTTGGGGGGAGTTGGAAGAGAGATATGGTCAGGCTGATGCTGCCTGAATTTTTGAACTCAAAAAAGGGTTAGCCCATATCTCACAAGGGTCTCTTGACATTGCATCCTACTTCAATAAAATCAAGCAACTCTGGGATGAGATTGCTGCCTTATGAGTCACCAGAGTCGGGACCTGTTGTAATTGTGGTGCTAAGTCTGATTATCAGAAGGATGAAGATGTCCAAAAAGTCTACCAATTTCTGATTGGTTTAAATGATTCATACATACAGACAAGCAGCAACATTTTCATGATTAAATCCTTTCCCTCTGTTAGCACTCTTTACAGCATCTTACTCTCAGATGAAAAACAGAGACAAGTTTCCACTTCTCCTCAATTTCTTCCTAGCTCTACTTCATTTAATGCTGGTGTATCCAAGCAAGTCTACCCTTCGGCGTCAATTTTAATTCCTCCAAACCTCCAACCTGTAAGTATTGTAAGAAACCAGGTCATACCATTGACAAATGCTATAAGTTGCATGGGTATCCTCCCAACTTCAAGTTTACTAAGGGGACTGCCTCAAGAAAAACTATTTCTCATGTTGAGTTGGAGCATGGTTCCTCTTCCACTGCTGTTGTTCCTGGTGGGAGGTCTCAATTTGATACTTCTTCTGAGGTTGTCTCTGACTCAGTGGTGCCTGGTCTCACTAAGGATCAATATTCACGATGATGATGCTGCTTCAACATACTCACATCCCTGATTTATCCTGAACTCCAAATCTCATGGCTTCTGCCAATTTTGCTGTTTTGCTCAAATCTTGTATGCTTTCTCAAGTAGATAGTTTTATTTGGATCATAGATTCTGTAGCTTCTGACCATATGACCTCCCATAAAGATTTGCTTTTCAACTTACAGCCCTTACCAATTCCTTGTCTTTTATACTTACCTAATGGTTATAAGGTCAAAGTTTACCTTGTAGGATCTTTGACTTTTTTCGTAACTTCACAATTCATCATATCCTCTATGTTCCTTCTTTTCAATACAATTTAATTTCCGTACATAAGTTGTTAGATCAATTCAATGGGATTATCCTGTTTACTAGAACTCTCTGTTCTATACAAGCCCCTTCACTTAAGATACCTCTGGTTCTTGGTAAACTAGATCATAATCTTTACAAGCTCATTCTGCCTCCTGTTGCTTCTGGTACATCTACTACTTCTCTGTCATTCCCACTTCTTCTATTTCTTCTCCTGTTATGCATGATGTATGTGTTTTTTCTTCTGATATTAGTGCAAATGTAACTAGTGCTGGTTCTGATAAGAGACATGTATATGCTGATGCAAATTTGAACAGTTCTAATAAAATGGATGTTGTTTGGCACTATATACTTGGACATATTCTATTTTCTAGAATGAAACATATTCCTGCACTTGCGTTACATTTTTTTCCCAAACAGTCATTTTCTTGCCCAGTTTGTCCCTTAGCAAGGCAAACCATACTGCCATTCCCTGATAGTAACATACAAACTACAAAGCCTTTTCAGTTAATATACATTGATACTTGGGGTCCTTATCATTATATTCCCCCACTTATAATGGGTCAAAGTATTTTTTAACCATTGTAGATGATTTCTCCACATCCACTTGGACCCACTTATTGGGTGCCAAAAGTAATACATTTGACCTCTTAAAAGCCTTCATAGCCATGATTGAAATACACTTCCAGTTAAAGGTTCAAACTGTTAGGAGTGATAATGCTCTAGAATTGGGATCAAGCACTATTAGTTCTATATGCTTCTCTGAGAAAGGGATCATACATCAAACATCATGTCCTCACACCCCACAGCAGAATGGGGTTGTAGAAAAAAAGCACAGGCATCTCTTAGAAACTGCTAGGGTCCTTCTCTTTAGTTTGGACTCCCCATTAGATTCTGGAGAGACTGCATTCTCACTGCCACCTATTTGATAAATAGGTTCCCTTCCAGTTTGTTAAAAGACAAAAGTCCCTATGAAATCCTCTACAACAAACTTCCTGTTTACTCCAATCTTAGAGCCTTTAGGTGTCTATGCTACTCTACTATCCCAAAACCTCATAGAGACAAACTTCAACCAAGGGCTACCCCTTGTGTCTTCTTAGGATATCCCTTTGCTAATAAAGGATACAAATTGATGATTTGAAACACAAAACTTATCTTGTTTCCAAAGATGTTATCTTTCATGAACATATATTCCCTTTTATTCAAACAACATCAAAACACTATCCCACGTGTAATATAACTTTTTCTACTTGTTTTAGCGATTCTCCTCAGTCTTATTATTCTGAGCCTACTTCATCATACCATGCTTCTCCTGATTCATCTCCATCTATTACTGATTCCTCTCCAAATGTTTTCCCAGTGCTGACTTGCCTTCTCCTTTTCCTTCATTTCCGTCTGAGTCCACTTCTTCCCCTGTTTCAAGTGAAGCAATTCCTGTGATTAAAAGGTCTTCCAGACCTCATAACCCTCCTTCCTATCTCCAAAACTATGTCTCACTTTCCTTCACAAGGACCTAAATTTGCTAACTACACTTTGTTTCTACTTTTGATGAGCATAATATTTTTGAGCCTAACACTTACTCACAACCAACATCCAGTCTTGAGCGGCAGGATGCCATGAAAAGGATTTTGAGGCCTTAGAAGCCAATGGCACTTAGGACATTGTTCATCTACCCTTAGGTATTGGTTGTAAATGGGTGTATAAGGGTAAATACAAAGCTGATAAGACCATAGAAAGATACAAGGCTAGGCTTGTGGTTAGGGGGAATACTCAGGTTAAAGGGATATATTTTCATGAAACTTTTTCACGTATTGTAAAGATGTCTACTGTTAAAACTTTACTTGTTGTGGCAGTTAAAAATAAATTATCATTATTTCAATTAGATATCAACAATGCCTTTCTACATGGTTATTTGGATGAGGAGGTCTTCATGAAACTTCCACCTGGGATGTCTGTTTCTTCCTCTTCTTCTTCTTTATCTACTTCAGCTCTTCTAGTTTGTAAGCTCAAAAAATTCTTATATGGGCTAAGGCAAGCTTTTAGACAATGGCATGCCAAGTTGTCAAATGCTTTGTATTCTAGGGGTTATGTGCAATCCTTGAATGATTATTCTCTGTTTACTTGGGGTTCTAGAGAGTCTTTTGTCATTTTGGTGGTGTATGTGGATGATATAATCATCACTAGGACTGATGTAGCTGAAGTATCTGCTGTGAAAGCTTTCCTCCATGATCAATTTAAAATTAAAGATTTAGGCAACCTCAATTACTTCTTGGGGATTGAGGTGCTGCATATTGAGTATGGGGTTTTACTTCATCAAAAGAAGTTCGTTCATGATATTCTCAAGGAGTTCCATTCTTTTAATTGCTCATCTGTGGTGTACCCTCTTGAGATGCATGAAAAACCAAAGGCCCATTGAAGGTGATGTGTTGCCTAACCCTGAGATTTACAGATGTTTGATTGGAAAGCTGAATTTTCTCACTCACACCAGGCCTGACATCTCCTTTGCAGTGCAACACTAAAGTCAGTTCATGCAGTAGGCCTGCATTCCTCACATGCAAGCAGCTCTGCACCTGCTTAGATATCTTAAAGGTAACCTCTGATTTTGGTATATTTCTGAATGATTATCCTGATTTTCTTTGAGTGTTTACTATGACCGTGATTGGGGGGCCTGTCCAAATAGCAGGAAGTCAAATGATTCAGTTGTCTTATACCTCTAGTGCCACTAAATTTGCTGATATGTTTACTAAGCCCTTGACAGGGGCTGTTCATCATGTCCATCTTCACAAGTTGGGGGTTCTCTCACCCTCCAACTTGCTGGGGGTATTGAGATTAGTGCAAATGGTGTTACATAATATCTTTGGTTAGTAGTAGTATCTTAGTAGTAGTATTAGTAGCAGTATTAAGTCATTCTTTGTTCATTCTTTGTATTGGCCTCGAAGCCCACTTTGTATTTATTAAGCAAAGTAGTAGTTTAGAGTTTGGGCCAGACGGGTCGTATATATAGAGAAGCCCATATGTGTTGTAGACGGGATTTTCATTTTATTTTTATTCTTGCCAGTAATAAGAAAAGCCCCAATTTCTCTCTCTAAACCCTTCTAGCCCTTGCCATGGAATCTTCAATTTCTATTTCGAATCTTAGTTTTAACAAGTTTTGATACTTACTTTTTAAAGCTTGCTTTTAAATTTTATTTTTCTACCTTTTTTGTATTGGGACCACACTATGTTTGATAGAATCGATAGTTATTAATTTGCCTACCGCATATACTTTATTTTTCAAGTATATATACAAATCTTTATTGATAAAGCAAAATTTCTACTAGACAACAAATCAAATTAGCAGAATAGAGCATTCTTAATAACATAATCTCTATATTACAAGTCATAACGTACAAATTGGAAAATTCTCATAAAGTTATGACTAACAATATTATATTTGGAGGAGGAGAAAACAACATAAGCTACCAATATATAAAATACAGAAAGTTGAAGCTTAATAAAATAGGAACAATTCAAACAAAGCCTTGAGACCCAAGCCAACTCTAGCTCCTGACTTATGTATACAGTAAAAATCGGTGGTCTAGTTTTATGACCATTAAGGCGCCTCGTAAAGACAACCTCCGGAAGGCTCGAAGTTCAGCTCAGGGTTTCGACCCTGAGGTTCTCAACGATCTGCCTCAAGGCAGTGTAAATCAGTGACTACGGTTGATCGATGTGAGGTTTTCAAGGCACGTGACTAGAGCTAACAAAGTCTATCAGGCTAGTCCAAACCCATATCATGGCATTAAATGACTGTACCAGCCCCATATCTTTGTAATATATGCGTTTGTACTATGTTGGGATTCCCCCTCATATATAAAGGGGATCTTTGTCATTTTGTAAGGGACATGATACTCAATATTGAATATACAAGAACATTTTCTCTATTTCCTAAGTTAACATATTCTCTTGACCTAATTACTTATATTTATTGCTTACATTTGTTGTGTTTTATTTATTGTTATTCATTTATTGTTCATTATTGGCCAAAAAGAGCCGCCATTGAATTTATCATAACTGTTAATCCTCTATCGACTGCCCTTAGCCGGGCATCCGACTTGACCTCGAGGCCCCGTGCACACAAGCTCGAGGCCCCGATTTCTAGCCATTCAGTTTGATTATTAAACTTTCTACAAGCTATTGTCTTATTCTTTCTAATCTTTCACTTAGCATCTATTACCTAACAACTAGCATAAAAATAGATCACATATTTTTAGAACCACAAAATCAAATCTAATTGTTATTATCATTTTCAAGGTAAACAGTTTGGCGCCCACCGTGGGGCTAAGAATAATAGTGATTATTTTCTTGCTGGTTTACTATATAACACAAGTTATCTTTCGCGCTTTTTCTTGTCCAAGAATCTTTGACTTTGGGTCAAAATGTCTAACTCAGTGAATGCATATGAAAATAACGGTCATGAGGACCATAAAGAGAATGGTCTAGTTGTTCTAGGTATTGGTGCACCACAACTAAACCCTGAAGGCGTGCCGGAGTCAATCCCCGCGGATGGGGTCTCACGCGATGCCTAACACGTTGATATAAGCTCGCACACTAACAGGAGCATACGCTAAGGAGACCAACAAGAGGCTTAGAAAACCCCAGCTAGGGAAGAATGGGAGGTTAGCCTTCACGTTATTTTTGAAATGTTACAGGCACAACAACTGGCAATTGCTCAGCTGCAAAGTCACCCGAAAACTCCCAGCATGGTAGCACCGGAAATGGCTCCCCAGGCCGAGTAGGTACCAGAAAGATCAAGCAACAACAGGTCGGCAACCGACCTCGCCATCATAAAGATGCTTGAGGACCTCACAAAGAGGATCGAGTCGGGCAAGAAGAAGATAAAAGCCAATGACAAGAATGTAGAGACCTACAATTCCAAGGTCGACCAAATTCCCAGCGCACCCCCGATCCTGAAGGGTGTGGATTCAAAGAAGTTCGTACAAAAGTTATTCCCACATGAAGCGACTCCAAAACCCATTCCAAAGAAGTTAAGAATGCTAGACCTCCCGAAGTACAACGGAACCTCAGACCCCAATGAGCACGTCACTGCTTACGCTTGTGCAGTAAAGGGCAACGACCTAAAGGACGGCGAGATCGAATCCATCCTACTGAAAAAGTTCGGAGAGACGCTTTTAAAAGGGGCAATGATGTGGTATCATAACCTAGCTCCAAATATGATAGATTCGTTCATCGTGCTGGTAGATTCCTTCTTAAAGGCACATGTTGGTGCCATCAAGGTAGCAACAAGGAAATCTGACGTCTTGAAAATCATGCAAAGGGAGAACGAGATGTTGCGAGAGTTCATATCTCGCTTTCAAATGGAACGAATGGAACTACCACCAGTCTCTGATGACTGGGCAGTGCAGGCCTTCACTCAAGGTTTGAACGAGCGAAGCTCGGTAGCTTCGAAGCAGCTGAAGCAGAACTTAGTTGAATATCCCGCCATGACTTGGTCGGACGTCCACAACCGATACCAATCAAAGATCAGGGTCGAAGACGATCAACTAGGAGCCCCCTCGGACTCGGTATATCCTAGCAGGATTCCGGCAAAGGAGCCAAAGCAAAAAATAGAAAGAGACCAACCATACACTGAAGATAGAAGAAATGTCTCGAGGCGTAACATACCCTGCAATGACCGAAGGATGGATCAAGGCTAGAATCCTCGGGGACTCATTAACAGAGCTGGGTTAGATAGGCACACAGGGCTGACGGAGGCACCCCGCTTGTCGGAATACAACTTTAGCGTCGACATTTTGGACATCGTATTTGCCATCAGTAAAATCAGAGAGGCCAGGTGGCCAAGGCTTGTACAATCGGATCCTTCGCGAAGGAACCATAACTTGGTGTGTGAATTTCATAGAACACATGGTTACAGGCTCGAGGACCGCTGACAACTCTGGGAAGAAGTACCCCGACTACTCAGCAAAGGTCACCTTCGAGAATTCCTTAGCGATCGAGCCAAGAATCAGTTCCGTGAAAGAGAGGCGACCAAGAAGAACAAGACAGATGAGCCACAACATGTCATCTACATTATCTTAGGAGGCATCGATGATTAGCAAGAACCCATGATCAGGAGAAAAAAATATCCATTACTAGGGAAAAGCGGACTCGAGGTTACATACCCGAGGACGCTCTCACCTTCAGCGACGAAGACATCGAGACCTTGTCTTAGCCGCATAACGACGCATTGGTAATCTCTTTTCTTGTAAATACATTTCAAATTAAACGTGTTCTTGTGAATCCAGGTAGCTTGGCCAATATTATCAGGTCGAGGGTAGTGGAGCAGCTTGGAATGTTTGACCAAATTGTGCTCACCTCTCGAGTCCTCAACGGGTTTAACATGGCGAGCGAAACAACAAAAGGGGAAATTACCCTCCCGGTCAACGTGGCCAACACTATCCAATATGCCAAATTCCATGTTATTGAATGAGACATGAGGTATAACGCATTGCTCGGAAGGCCATGGATACACTGCATGAGAGCAGTACCATCCACCCTCTATCAAATGATGAAATTTCCGATAAAAGATGCCATAAAAACCATCTATAGGGAACAACATGCAGCAAAAGAGATGTTTGCGGTACACGATGTGGCACCAACGCCAATACCTCCAACATCGAGGAAGCCAAAGGATAAACAAATGGTAAAATAGCAATAATAAGCTATATTCTCGGTTACACCCGACCGAACAAGGTAAAGGAACGTACCGCATCCTCATAACAAATGATTGAAACATATCGAGACCCGAATCACCGTCAGCACTAAGGTATGATCATCTTTTCTTTTTAGTTACATTTTACACTAACCTGTGTATAGGTATCCGATCGAAACAGCCGATGCACTTTCCAACTTGAAGGCCTTAGGTTCTGAAAGCATACTTTTCACTCTTTTCCTTCGATCAGGTTTTTATCCCAAGAAGGGTTTTACCGGCAAGGTTTTTAACGAGGCAACATCCATATGCTACCTAAGAAAGACTCAACAAGTATTCAAGACTTCTCTTTAATACTGGGGGGCATCCCCCCGGAAGGTCACCTCCTCGGAGAAGCCAAGATGTGCTAAATGGGGTATTAATAGGAAAACGATGTACCAGGCCAAACGATCGAACGAACCGTGTCCGTACAGAATAACTGAGCCCTTGACAACAAAAATGTGTATACTTGTACCAAGTAATCAAAGAATACTTTTCCCTCCATCAAAGCATTTCCCGTTTCAAAGGAGTTCGGTATTTTTTACAAAAATGGTTCCAGAGAGAAAAATGTCCCAAACACTTAGGGAATGACATCAAAAACTCGAAGTCGTATGACCCTCGGGTCGGAAGCTTCGAACTTGTAAGCTCTCAATGAGGCAACATCAAGGTTACAAAAACGACTCCAGAAGCCAAGAACGTCCCGAACACTCGAGGACTGGCATAAAAAACTCAAAACTGTATGACCCACGGGTCGGAAGCATCAAGATCGTAAGCCCTCCATGAGGCAACGTCATGTCTACGAAAATGGCTCCAGAGCCAAGAAAACTTTCAATGCCTCGGGGACTGCCAAGGCCATAAGACCCCATACGGGCAACCCCGACCCCGTAAGACCTTTATAAGGCAACACCAAAAACTGTAAGACGTTAAGCAAGCCATGAACCATGCCTGTACCAAGTAACCAAAATTGCAAGACCTCAAAGGCATGTAAAAATTATAAAACCTTGCGAAAAGGAATTATCCCGACCTTAAAGTTAAGGCTATATATTCGAACTTGTAAGACCCCTAAAAAGGCATACCCTCAATATAGACGCCGAAACTACTTCACTTGGGGACTAAAAGGCTCCGGCCAAACACAATGGCTACGGTCACAAGGTTGTACCAGCCAAACTAACGCGACTCGGGGATGCCCGACTGTCGCTATAAAATCACAGGCCTTCAATTACTTCGAAAGTACTTCAAAAAGAACCGGTTAAACAGGCTATCCTCGACATAAGCAAAAGAGCTTCGGCCATATCAGCTCCAAACTATAGGCTTCGAAACACTCAACCACCGAGCAAAACCTCCCGATGTGCTCATTCATCGC